TGGGAAAGATGGAGGGCACAAGGAGAAGAGGACAGAGGATGAGATGGTGGGACAGTGTTCTCGAAGCTACCAGCATGAGTTTGACCAAACTGCGAGAGGCAGTGGTAGACAGGAGTGCCTGGTGTGCTCTGGTCCATGGGGTCACGAAGAGTCGGACACGACTAAACGACTAAACAACAACAACAACATTTGCACGAAATGCTTCCATGCTAGGAAAACAAAGAGCGCCCTTAAACCCAGGGTGGCTGCATCCCCTCTCATCGTGGGCAAAGAGGTGGGCAAAGAGGTGGCTGCAACTCTGGTCTTTCTGCCAAGGGCAGCATTCCAGCCATGCAAAAGTCAGTGGTTTCTAAACAGGCACCCCACCCCAACCATAGTTTAGAGGTCCCGGGCCCTAAGGAAGTCAGACTATCCTCCACCAGGGCCAGGGCCTTCTCAGTGATGGCTCTGACCTGGTGGAATGCTCTGTCCCATGAGACCAGGGCCCTGCAGGATTTAACCTCCTTCCGTCAGGCCTGTAAGACAAAGCTATTCCGCCTGGCCTTTACCATATTTTTCGCTCTATAAGACGCACCAGACCACAAGACGCCCCTAGTTTTTGGAGGAGGAAAACAAGAAAAAAAAATATTCTGAATCTCAGAAGCCAGAACAGCAAGAGGGATCGCTGCGCAGTGAAAGCAGCAATCCCTCTTGCTGTTCTGGCTTCTGGGATAGCTGCGCAGCCTGCATTCGCTCCATAAGACGCACACACATTTCCCCTTACTTTTTAGAAGGAAAAAAGTGAGTCTTGTAGAGCAAAAAATACGGTAATTTGAATTCAGCCTGAACTTTTATTTCCCTTCTCTTCCCTCCCCCTCCCCTTTTATGAAGATCGCCCACTCTGAGACCCCACAGCTAATTCTCCCCAGACCTCCTCGCTGGCCCAAGTAGGACCAATTCAGCCAGCTAGCCCTGGGGATTATCTAATGCTTATTTCCCCTAAATTGATTTCTGAATTTTATTGGTATTCATGTTTTTATACTGTATTTTATGCTGCTTTTATAATTAAGTGTTGTAAATTTGTTGTTAGCCTTCCTGAGCCTGGTTTTCTGAACTGGGAAGGGCAGGGTATAAATAAAAAATTATTAATTTATTATTATTATTATTATTATTATTATTAATCTCTCTGTCCTCCCATTCGGGCAAGCAAGAGGCAGGGTTGCATTGCAAGGATGCACTCTAGGCCAGCCGGCTGGGTGGGGAGCAGCAGGGGCCTGAGGAGGAGGGGTGTGCCTTGGGGGGGGGTCCCAAGCAGGGCTGGATAGAGACTGCACCAGAGTCACTTGTAGGTCTCTCAAAATCTTCTCTTCCATCAATTGAGGAGGTCACAAGTGTGGGAATGTTCAGGGAGGCAGGAGAGGATATATTGTTCATTAATATCCTTCCTAACTTGTGCTAGCAAGTTCCTTTACTTAGCAGAATTTTACATTCCCCTGTTAAATGCACAGCAGATAGCTGTTTGCAGGCTTGTGTAAGTCTCTCACTATTACATTCCTGGTAAGTCCCCTTATATCCCACTTGAAAGAATGAACACGCCACAATCTTGTGTAAAGTATATAAAAGAAGTTTACTCACAACATAAGTTCACAGTTGGATCCCAGAAGGCAGACTTAGTTACAAAGTATATACATGTGGATCTATCCCATATGGGGATAATCCCAGTGTCCTCTGTTGCTGGAAGCCAACAGAGCATCTCTAGCTAAAAAGCTGCTCCAACTATAGAAGAAGTCAAAAGAGAGAGTGTGTGCTGCGTGACTTGAGCGAGATGAGCGCCGCAACCCCAGAGTCGCCCATGACTGGACCTAATGGTCAGGGGTCCCTTTACCTTACCTATATCAGAGGTAAAAGGTTGGACGCAGGTGGCTCTGTGGTCTAAACCCCTGAGCCTCTTGGGCTTGCCAATCAGAAGGTCGGCGGTTCAAATCCCTGTGACAGGGTGAGCTCCCATTGCTCAGTCCCAGCTCCTGCAAACCTAGCAGTTCGAAAGCACGTCAAAGTGCAAGTAGATAAATAGGTACCGCTCCAGCGGGAAGGTAAACAGCGTTTCCGTGCGCTGCTCTGGTTCGCCAGAAGTGGCTTAGTCATGCTGGCTACATGACCCGGAAGCTGTATGCCGGCTCCCTCGGCCGATAAAGCGAGATGAACGCCGCAACCCCAGAGTCGGTCACAACTGGACCTAGTGGTCAGGGGTCCCTTTACCTTTACTTATATACATGTGGATCTATCCCATGTGGGGATAATCCCAGGGTCCTCTGTTGGCTGGAAGCCAACAGAGCATCTCTAGCTAAAAAGCTGCTCCAACGACGGAGGAAGTCAAAAGAGAGGGTGTGTGCTGCGTGACTTATCCTTTTGTTACCTGGACAGGTAAGGTCACGCCCACCTTTGGTCACATGCAAGAGGAAGGATGCTCCAGGCCAGGAGGAAACAGGAAGTTTTTGACTGGCTGGACCAAACATCCCCCTGCATGTCCACTCTAGGAAAACAAGGAATGTTGTACTTGACTGCTACTTATATATCACACCCCACAACAAGCACATGGGAAGAAGGAGATCTCTGCTCTTCCAGTATTTTCAAATCTGCACTGCAACCTCCTCTCTGATTCAAAGATATGTGGGGAAGTCAGGGAAGAGAACAAATGGGGAATTCTATTTATTTCCCATTTGGATAAAGGCATTATCACAAGATTTTGCAATCTTGGATCATACATGCATGAGAAAACGGGCACGGAATTTGATATAATTTCAGCAGACCTAAAGCAGAACTGTTTGAAAACCTTCCATGAATGGTATTTAATGCCTTGAACCTGATATCTAAGTTAGGGTTTGATAAATGTTGGCAAAGTGAATTAAACAAGGCAGATTGCATACACATCTCCTGGAATTGTTCTCAAATAGAAGCACTCCGTTCAGGCTAATATCTCCAGCATGGAACCTAAAGTATTTCTGCTCGGTTATCTAAAAGATGTTATTCTGGAAAATGATCAAGAAATAAGATTATAATAGCCAAAAATGCTGGGGGTTGGGGGTTTAACTTCTACTATATCTGAATGGACTGAGAAAATTTGGTCTATAGTAAATGATGATTAAGCTAGCTTATTACAAAGGAATACATATAAACCAATCTACAGGTTTATGGGGGGAAATGGGTATTTTCTGTAATGTTTTAGAACAACAACTTCAGTGATAATATCCAACCTGATGCTGCTTTCAACCTGCTGTGTCTGTATTTCTTTATTCCCTGTATCTTTGGTTTATTTTGTTTAATGGGGGTATGACTCTTTTTAATTGTCTTACTCCAGCTCAAACAACTGAGTGTGCAAGTTTTTTGCCTTTCTCTGGAAGGTCTGATCCCTTCCCCGGCTGCTTGCAAAAAGAAATCCCCCTTTGTTTACTAGAACTGGGAGGAAAAGAAGCTGGAGATTCTTCCAACGCAAAGCTTCTCCTTTGAAACTGACATTTCCAGAACAAATCAAAACTGCAACGCCCACCTTCTGCTGCAGCAAACCTACACGGGAAAGGAGCATGGCAGGAGCAGGACTGGAATGTCATTTGTCAAAGCCAGGAGCTGCTTTGGAGGCCTGCCTCTCTCTCAGGCCCAGGTCCTCCCTGCAGGGTTGGTGTTAAAAAAAAAAAGACATTGGTCCACAACATACTGTGATGTGGTCAGAGGTTTTCAAAGTTTTCCACATCCGCTTGCCTGCCCGCACAGGTTGTCTTGTCACTGATGCCCAGGGCAATTGCAGGGGATTCTGGGATAAAGTGGTACCTTGGTTCTCAAACACCAAAAACCTGGAAGCAAGTGTTCCGGTTTTCTAACGTTTTTTGGAAGCCGAACGTCCGATGCGGCTGTCAGCTATTGTTTCTGGGGCGCCTGCCTCAATCAGAAGCTGCGCCTTGGTTTTTGAACATTTCCGAAGTGAAATGGACTTCCGGAATGGATTAAGATTGGTACTTTTGTTTTTTCTGTTTATTTTGCGTTTTTGTTTTTGAGGCTTTTTCGGTTCATTTGTTTTTGTGACTGTGTGGAACCCAGTTCAGCTACTGATTGATTGATTGATTGATTGTGTGACTGTGGAAATGGATAAAAGCCCCCCATCCAGACAATGACTGTCATCAGTGCAGGTAAGGAAACAATAATAATTTTAAGTTTTATCATCTACAATACTGTCTTATTTTATAGTACAGCACATTGTTGATTGCTTTCATTTTATGGATCAATGGTCTCGTTAGACAGTAAAACTCACATTCAATTGCTGTTTTAGGGGTTGGTTTTGAAAGTCTGGAACGGATTGCATTCCTTTCTATGGGAAAGTGCACCTTGGTTTTGGAACGCTTTGGTTTTGGAACGGACTTCTGGAACGGATTAAGTTTGAGAACCAAGGTGCCACTGTATGTGGCCAGTGGTGGCACACTCCTCGGCAGTATCCAGACCCCTGCTGGGTTGTGACTCTGGCCCACATGATCTGGTAGAGCATGCCAGGAATTCCCCATGGCTTTTTGCTATAGGGAAAAATCAGCCGTGGTGGGTGAGGGGTCTTCTCAAGGAATCTGGACCACCATTCCCAGCCTTCTCCAAGTACAGTCATACCTCAGATTACAGATGCTTCAGGTTGCGTTTTTTCGGGTTACGGACACACCGAAACCCAGAAGTACTGGAATTGGTTACTTCCAGGTTTCGGCAGTCGCGCATGCGCAGAAGTGCTAAATCGTGCTTTGCACATGCGCAGAAGCGCTGAATCACAATCCGCGTATGCGCACACACGGTGCTACGGATTGCGAACGCTGCGGGTTGTGAATGCTGCGGGTTACGAACGTGCTTCCCGCACGGATCACGTTCGCAACCCGAGCGTCCACTGTATGTCCAGCGGGGGGAAACTAAGCATTTGAAAGGGTTTGGCAAGTGATGCAAACTGTAAGTGAAGAAAACAGAAAAGCAAATCTTTATTTTTTTACATAGGGCAATGGAGGTAGAGCTCAGGGTTACACATACCTTGGTCAAGTACAGTGGTAGTGTTGTTCACTGCTGCTTCTGACCGCAAAATATCTTAAGCCAGCCAGGGTTGTGGGGACCTAAATTTTTCAGGAATATTCCAGGGGGAGATCTTACATTTTCAGCTTCCACTTTACAAAGAGCTTCTGAATTTTAGTGGTAGTGCTATAAGGTAAAAAGAAAAAAAAATGTAGGCAGACCCAGTTGCTAAAGGCTCCCTAAGAAATAAACCTGTTCCCGGCTTCAAACATTTCAGCTTTTAGGAATGTTTTAGGATAGCTGACAAGCACTTAAGTTTCATTTTCTCAATACTGAATAAGATTTAAACATTTTGGAAATGAAAGCACAGCTATGAAATAGCAGTTCCATTGCGCCCAAGCACACCGTGAAAAGTTTTCTGTTTGTTCCCCTGAAAATGCAAACATTGCTGATGAGAATTTGAAAGGCTATTTCCACATATGCCTCACGAGTTCCGTTCTGGCAACAGCCAAGAAAAAGGCAACAAGCTTCCGTCTTAAAGCATAATGGGAGCAATTCCATCTGAGAAAATTATTGATTCTCTCGACAGGTTTCACGCTGAAAGGGATTGGCACATTGCAGCGTCCTTCAGCCAAGTCGGGCAAGACCTGGCTTGCATATTCCTCAGATTAAATACTCACCAGAGCTGCTGATGTAGGTGCAAAATTTCTCAGGCTCCTGACATGCGAAGCTGCCAGAAAGCTTTGATGTTCACTGTCAAACATTTTCGACTTACGCTCACTCGAGGCCTTCTGCGCTGCAAAGTTCTGCTCCAGATTCCCCCACAAAACATCCTGGGAGTTGCAGTTTGATGAAGGCTCTGAGAATTTCCCTCTTTGCAGAACTACAACTCCCAGAGAACCCCAGGAGACAGAATGGTGCTCATTCAACCAGCTTAGGTCTGTGGTGTGGACCGATTTCATTTAATTGTGGCCAGTTTAGGATTTTTGGATTACAGTTCACCTCAGCCCCAGCCGGAGGAGAACTTGCTGAGCAGCAAATCGACCTGCCTCCTTCGCTGAAAACACCAGGATCTTATCCAGCTTTTCGGATAGATCAGCCTTGCAAATAATTCCACCAAAGTTGCACACAAACTTTTTAAACCTTTTGCCAGCTCACCTGTCCAGACATGTCTGTGAGTCAGGCATAGCAGTTGCCTGAAAGAGGAGTTGAACTTGCATCCAGTGTACCACACACACAAAACAAGCCCCTGGAGGCTAATTGCAAACGTCGGTTGACGACTTTATGATACTTGGGCGTTTCCTGGCTAGCAATAATTGAGCTATGTAAAAATAATCAAATGACATTTGCTCCAGAGGCCGCTGCCAACATCTGATTTATTTCTACCCTGACAGGTAAGCAAGAAAGGAACGTGGCAGTGGGGTGATTCTGACACATTTTTCATTATTCTTCTCACAGGTCTCTTATTTCCTGAAGTCAGTGTTTCTCTAAAATACTCAAACAGGGCAGTCCCAGGTGATAGTTTGGAGGGGACCAACTTCCAGGTGTCTTCGGATTACAGCCTCATAACGCAAACCTTGACTCAGAAGGAAGCCCCCCTTAGGTTCAAAAGGCACTTGATCCTGGGTATATATAATATTTCAGCCTTCAACAACAATTATAATCTGTGGCTGTGATCTAACCGAGGACTGAACAAGGGGCAGAGATGACCTTCTGCCGCAGATCCCAGGGGACACTTTTAGCTACACCCGCAAGACGGTGTGTTTCCTGCTCACCTCACCTGGGAAAGGTTCAGAAAAGGGTGGCCAAAATGATCAAGGGAAGGAAGCAACTCTCCTATGAAGAACAGTTGCAGCATTTGGGACTTCTTAGATTAGAGAAGATCAAACCTTTCCATTCTGAAGGAAATCAGCCCTGAGTGCTCACTGGAAGGACAGATCCTGAAGCTGAGGCTCCAAGACTTTGGCCACCTCATGAGAAGAGAAGACTCCCTGGAAAAGACCCTGATGTTGGGAAAGATGGAGGGCACAAGGAGAAGGGGACGGCAGAGGACGAGATGGTTGGATATTGTGCCTTCTGGTCAGAGTTTTCGGTACATGAGCCGTGCCCAAACTGCTGGAGGCAGTGGATGACTGTTAGGTTGCTCTAGTCTGCAGGTGAGGCAGTCAAGAGAGGCGGACAGTCTATGTTCCTATGCATTTACATCTTATAACAGACATGTTCCTAAAGATTAGAGTAAGACATGTGGAATGTAAGGCAATGTGATTGGTAAGTTCGCTTCAAAAGCAATACAACCGATGTTAAAAGAGATAAAGGGACCAGAGAAAAGCTAGTGTTCTCGCTACTAACATGAGCCTGACGCGAACCTATGGACATCCAAGGAAGATGAAACGGAAGATTGAAGACGGATAAAAGAAATTACTTCTTCACGCAGCGCAGAGTTAAACTCTGGAACTCCCTCCCACATGAGGCCACAAACTTGGATGGCTTTAAAAGAAGATCTGAGCAATTCGTGGAGGAGGAGAGGGTTCTTGCCTCCACAGTTGGAGGGCAGCAACGCCTCTGAATGCCAGTTGCTGGAGAGTTGCTCTTGTGCAAAGGATCCTGCGTGCATTTGGTTGGCACAAAATGGGCCACGGGCCTGATCCAGAAAGGATCTTTTCGCATTCTTACGTTTTTGGATGCTTTTTTTCCTAGGCATTCTTCCATCCCATCTCGCAAGCCGCTTCTGAAACGCCTCTCGTTTTTCCCCCCCAGACCTGTTTTAGCCTGCAGGATGCAGAGATGGAATCTGAGGGAGGAGACGGGGCGGGGTGAAATGCAAAGCGGTTTTAGGAAGGCGGAACTGGCACCCCAGTTCTTTGCATTGAGGGGTGGGGGTGGGGGAATTGTGGGTGCAAATGGTAGCACCCGAAACAAAACCGCCAAGGAATGTGAGCATTTGAAAACAGAAATAAATGCAACTTGTCAACATGCAGGAAGAGGAGAGACAACGCCCAGAGGCGCAAATGCAGCCACGATAAAGGCTACTAATTTATGGGTGAAATAGATGTGTGTTTGTGGAGGGGGGAGTTGCGCTGCAACATTAATCCTGACGGCTGTATTGGGCACCATCTGGGCAGAAACATTTCTCCCCCCCCCCCAACAAACCCACCAAGATTGCAGCTTTGCTGAAATCCAGCTGGGATTAGGATGTGATTCCAGCTAATCCAAGGGCGTTTTAAAACACCCTGAATGTTACACCCCTCCCCTCGCTTCTCTTTCCCTTTCCCTTTCCTTCCTTCCTTCCTTCCTTTCTCCTCTGCAACAGTTGTCCTTTCAAAGCAACGCCTTCTCTCCATCTCCCCTTTAAAATTTCATTTGGGGGAAAATAATTATCCCCCCCGCCCTCTTTGCATGGTAGCTGCAGCGTGCAGATTAGGATTTTATATATGACAAATTAACATTTATAAACACAGCCCCCCAACATTTTAGGGGGGCTCCCTATGGCGTCTTGGGGGTGCCTGTCCGACGTTACCTGCCCCCCTCTCCCTCCCCCCTCGCATTTTGCGTACAGTGCCATCTATTCAAATTAATTCTGCTAATGGAGCTGCTGGTGGCGTGTGGCGCATTTCAATTAAACGGGGTTCGTAATACTTTATAAAGCGACCTGCTGCTCTGCAGGTGGGGGCGGGGAAGAGATTGCTTTTGCTGGAGGGAGGGGAGAAGCGTGTGTGTGTGTCTGTTTTAAAAGCTGCAACAAAAGAGGGCGGGTAAGAGACCTCTAACCCCTAAGAAATTAGGAATGCAAAGGTATGCAAGAAGCTTTATCCTCCATGCAAATAGGAAAAGGTGCAATGAAGCAAAAGCAACAGGGGGGTTATTTCCCCCGCCCCGCCCCCCTGCGCTCAAAAAAATGAATTTTAAGTCCCCTAAATATGTTGGCAATGGATTGAAAGAGAGGAAGGGAGGGAGAGATGCAGGCACTCTTGTTTTTCTAAGGAGAACCCTTAAGAAACCTCCTTTTTTAATAGGCAAGATTGATTGCATTCGGTCGGGGAGATGCTTTGCACTGGAACAAAAAAATACATATATTGATGGCGAAATTTGGTGTTTCAGAATGCCGTTTTTTTTTTCTTTTTGAGCAGAGCTGCACACAGCCCGTCGAAGAAAGTTTGCGCCCAGTTGCCCCCTTCTCACGCCTCTCTGAGCCCAAACGCCCCCACCAAAAAGGGGACCCCAAAAAAACCCACCCATTTCTCTTGGGTGTAAAGGAAATGCGAGTGGGCGGTCATCGTCCTTCAGTGACTTTTGGGTGGGGTCAGATTTCGCCCTCATCCTGAACCCCAGGGGTCAAATTAGCATAATCTGCACTGACTGGCGACAAACCTAGACAGCATCTTAAAAAGCAGAGACATCACCTTGCCGACAAAGGTCCGTATAGTTAAAGCTATGGAAGTGAGAGCTGGACCATCAAGAAGGCTGATCGCCAAAGAATAGATGCTTTTGAATTCTGGTGCTGGAGGAGACTCTGGAGAGTCCCATGGACTGCAAGAAGATGAAACCTTTCCATTCTGAAGGAAATCAGCCCTGAGTGCTCACTGGAAGGACAGATCCTGAAGCTGAGGCTCCAAGACTTTGGCCACCTCATGAGAAGAGAAGACTCCCTGGAAAAGACCCTGATGTTGGGAAAGATGGAGGGCACAAGGAGAAGGGGATGATGGAGGATGAGATGGTGGGACAGTGTTCTCGAAGCTACAAACATGAGTCTGACCCAACTGCGGGAGGCAGTGGAAGACAGGAGGGCCTGGCTTGCTCTGTTCCATGGGGTCACGAGGAGTCGGACACGACTAAACGACTCAACAACAACAAGCACTGACTGGCAGCCGCAAATCTCCAGGGGTTCAGGCACAGGACCTTGCCAGCCCCCCCTCCCCCCGGAGATGCTGCCAGAGGATGATGGAACCTGGGAACCTCTGCCTGCCAAGGAGGTGCTCTAACCACTGAGCTATGTTGCCCCTTCCCAGGAAGTCACCACCCTGAGCTCGTGCTGGGAGCCAGTGCTGGGATTCCAGTGGGCCTCACTGGTTCTACTGGTCTCAGGGAACCTGGCAACACAACCCAGCCCAGTCTGAAATATCCTTGTAAGCGGAGATGGAGAAAGTTGAAAGGAGAAGCTGCAGGTATGTACAGGAAAGGGCCATCGAAATGATAAAGAGAGAAAAGGCGAGGAAGAAGCAACATGACCAAAGTGTATAAAATCATAGAATGGTGGAGTTGGAAGGGACCCCCAAGGTCATCTAGTCCAACCCCCTGGAATCCAGGAATCTCAGCTAAAGCATCCAGGAAAGATGGCCATTCAGCCTCTGCTTAAAGACCTCCAAGGAAGGAGAGTTCACCATCTCCTGAAGGAGACCATTCCAATGTCGAACAGCCCTGACTGTCAGAAAGTTCTTCCTGAGGTTCAGTCGGAATCTCGTTTCTCGTAACTTGGATCCACGGGTTCGAGTCCTGCCGTCCAGAGCAGGAGAAAAGAAGCTTGTTCCCTTTTTCCTCTTCCACGTGACAGCCCTTCAGTTGCTATCATATGTCTACTATGTAGACAAAGATTAAATGTAAAGTATTGGTTGTGTTTAGAATAGATTTATGGAAGATTTATAAAACCTATTGATTAGAATATTTGTGTGAGATTGTATGGGGAAAATATGGAATAACAGATACAATCTTGCTTAAAATGTATATAGGAAGTGCAGTGTAAGCGATGGAAGTCAATCAATGAAATTTTATTAATATTTCATATTGAGATATTTGTAGAATAAATTTGCAAGAAATTCTTCCAACTTTTCTTCTTCTTTTCTCTCTCTATATTTTCTTCTTTTTTCTTTTCTTCTTTTTTCTCTTTTGATCTTTTTTATATATGTGTACTTATCTGAAATATATATGTATGTATGTATTTGCAATATTTTGCTTATATTTTGTAATAATTATTTTAAATTAATTAATTAAATTTTAAAAAACACACAGAAAAAACAGATACTATCCTATCTCCTGCCATTCTCCTCTTTCCTGAACTAAACATACTCAACTCCTTCAACCGTTCCTCATCTGGCTTGGTTTCCATGCAATAGCAAAACAACAACAAACCCCTGGTTACGTGAAACATACTCAATAAACACACAAGACGTAACCGGCTGTATTTTTGAATAAATAAGGTATACCATTCATTGTATC